CTCCTACCAAGGTTATAAAATTGCCAGATACATCTAGACCTAATATTAAAATGTTCTCTATTACACTGTGCATGTGTGAATACTCTTGTGTCAGAGTATTTATTATAAGCTCCTTCTAAATGAAAGAACAATAAGTTAGAGGAGTTACTAAATAAAATCTTTTTTTTTCTTCAGTTGCTTTTCTTTAAGAACTAAACAAAACCCAGATGAGAGAAAATTAACAACTCCAATACTGATGCCGAAATAAACGGCTTGACTTAGAGGTTAGTCAGAACCCATAAAGCATGGCCACGTTTGTCCTAATTAGCGTCCCATTTTCAGGCAAGCTTTTTAATTCACAGTTGACATTTAAGCCTTGCCACAAGGTGCTTTACGATCATCACCTGGCCTCCCTGTGTGCCATTTAGGCCCTCTTGGAGGAAAAGGCAGGTGCTGTTTTCCTGAACGTTTCTCACAAGGCAGCCACGAGAAGGAAGGGAGGAAGGGGGAGGAAATAAATCTGGATCCTTCAGGGGACTTAGAGTGGGGATTTCCAATAGGGTGACCCCAATGCAATGCTGTCACCCAGGAGAGGGGACCTGCCAGGACCTCCTGCCTTGTCCTGGGCCACCTATTGCTGCCTGACTCGTGCTCCTCAACGTGTCGAGCTGGGGGCACCAACACCCCCAAACGCTCCCTGCTAGTGTGACCTGGATTTCCTTCCTCCTGCCCTGAATTCTTGGTCTTTTTCTCTTTCYTCTCTGCTCCTGGGTTCAACTGGCAGCAAGGCAGGTCACTTCAGCTCCTTGAGGAAAGCAGAAGAAAAACTATCAATTTGAGCAGCCCTATGAAATAACACTCCTAACGGGAGAAGGATGCTAAAACATGCAGAAGTGTTTTTCTCTCTTTCTCTTTTCTCTCTTTTCTCTCTCTTTCTCTCTTTCTTTTTTATATACTTTACTTGCCCAGAAACACAGAGTCTAATCTAACTCTAAGCGCTAACAAGTGATGGTGTCGTGACAAGTGACAGGTAGGAAGATGTGGTGAGGGCTGGTGGCTCCTTCAGGAGCGGCTGTGCTGAGTCCCCCTTGACAGAGACCAGCCGTAACCAGCCAGAGGACTTTGCAGAGTAAGAACTTTCTCAACTCCACCAGTTTAAGCTGCTCTATATAGCATGCAATTGTTAAATTAACTATTAATGTTTAAATAAGTCCATATTTCCCGGGTCAGTGGAAGAGGGAGCAAATGCCAAGCTGTGGCCATGATGCTTCTCTCTCCTGCTCTCCKGCCTGATGAATATTTGATTATGATTCAGTGAAAAGGTTTTCAGCACGGAGGAGTGTGCTGCTTTCCCTAGGCTTCCYCAGAATATAGTGAGGCGTTGTGGTCAGGGCACTTTCCTGAGAGGAATGAGCTTGCATTTTGGGGCAGAGAAGGGCATTCAGCCCTCCTGGGTGACTGTTCCTTTGTTGTGGTGCAAGAGATGTGTCTTTCTTCATGTCTTGTGCACAGCCTTGCCATTGAGGTACCTTCTGGTAGGACCTAATGGAGTGAGACCCTTAAATGCTGTGAGTAGAGAACATAAATCACAGTGGAACAAGTATGGAGACCACCAGGAAGAGATGAACTCTCGTTGGACATGGCCAGGGACAAAATTTCTATGTGGGGGAAAGAACAGTGGTGCTGAAGGCACCAGGTATACCTCCCAGGATGGGCACCTTTGCATCAGGGTGAGAGAGAAAGCTACAGTCTTCAGATAAGCAGAGAGACAGCACAGGGCATCACACATGCTTGGAAAGCCCCAGCAGCTCAGGGGGGTCTCAAGTAGCTCTGCAGTGAGGATAGGAGAGACAGCTGGGGTGGCAATCCTGTCAGATCTCCTCCTGTCAATGGTGTCTCCTCATGAATCAGAGCTATCAGGCCCCAATGGGATGTAAGTGACCCCAGGGTTAGGCAGCAGCTTGGTGAGGAGAAGTTGGGTATCATGATTTGGGGTTTAGAAATCAGTAGGGTGGGTTTGAACACAGGTGCCCAACTTGTTTTTGTGGATCTTGCCTTTGGAGTACATGTTAGTGCACACTTTAGCCTGTTCTACTTCCGAACTGTGCTGATGATAATTTCATCCTAAAAACTACAGACGGGGGAYGCTCTGCGAGCTGCCCGTGGGGTTATGTGGAGGTTAGTAGCTAATAATTCCTGAGATTTAAGCCTCGATCTGTCGTTGGCTCACTACACAAAACGCTGATTGACTCTGAAAGGAGATTGTAAAAATAGCATTGTGGGGCTCTGTATGTATTGGAATTCAATAAAATTTCAGTCTAGAAGCTTTGGATCTGAAAATAAAGCTTTGCTCTTTTAGCCAGCATGCAGACATCAGCTGTAACGGAGTTGCTTCTGGGTCAACGGTGGAGAACAGGAAAATACTAAATAATTCAGGCGATTGACCTGAATCTCCCAAGGGCAGTACTGGCTTTGCAATGCAAGGGGAAGGGGTTATTGAAATCAGCAGGATTACTTCCATGAGGAGTAACGGGAAAGTGCGTGTCCACGCTCACCTGGAGGGTTTTCCTCTTGCTGTACAGGTGCATGAGCAGGAGCTGGTGCCACCAGCCTCTCTGTGGGACTGTCGGTGAGGAAGGGATCACTGCRGTTAGTTTTAAAAGCGGAGCCTGTYGCTCTCRGCTCATTCCCCTGCAGTCCTCATCCTGCAGTCTTAACATCTCCTGCTATAACATCCTTTACATGCCATGGATGTTACAGCAGCAGTAAAGCGGGACAGAATATTTGTGAGAGGTGAGGTGGGGCTCRTGCTGCTTTCGTTAAGTGCTGCTAGGTGGCAATGTGTCCCCTAGGAATCCACGAGCTTTTCCAGGGCTGCCGGGCTCCTTGGCTGGGGACGGAGCAGGGGCTGCTGTGTAGGATTCCCTGGGAAAGGTCCTACTGAGTGTCTGTATCAACTGCTTCTCCTTTCCAAGGAAACAAACATAGCACTGAATCCCACCGGAAAAATCTYTTCTCTGCAAACAGCAGAGGAAAACCGCTCCAAAGGAAAAATGGGCAGGCCAACCCGCTGTGGCATTTCTGTTTCTACTGGGAGAGCCGCAATAAGGGAATGAAGCCTCCTGACCTATGAAGAACACTGCCACCTGGGACGAGGCTATTCCAAATTCTYACAGGTCCCCTTAATGAAAGAAAATTAAAAGTATCTGTTTTTTAAGAAAAAATAATTTTAAGAAAATTAAAAGAAAAGYTTATCTCCTCTCCTCTTTTTTTCCCCCAAATGCATAATTTAACCAAAATCTCTTTCATTTTTTTCAACCATAATATTCAATCCACTGGAACAACTTCAGGGTGCTTGTATCGACATTTGGGTTGAAAAGCAGCTTTTGTGAAGGTGGAGGAGACCCAAACACCTAGGAGCAGGTGCCCTCACGCGCTGGTGCTGACGAGAAGAGGGTAGCGAGGGCCGTGGGCACCGCGCGGAGCGACGAGTGTTACAACCAGGAACGCTTATTCTCCCGTGGCTGGGTGCTTCCTGGCACGGCGGAGACACAGCGGCTTCGCTGAGCCGCAATATACATTATAAAATAATAATRATAGTAATTCTACTAGTACTATTTTACTAATTTTTTACTAATTTTACTAAAGTGGTGCTATTTTAAAATAAGTAATGCTGATAAAGTAATGATAAGGGATTAAGTAACGATGACAATTTGSCTAACTGGTGTCCAGCAGCCCTCACGTCACCCCTAGTGTGTGTGTGGGGGTGCAGTAAGACGCAGTCACACGCTGCCGCACTCGCGCCGTTCCGCGTGACGTCACGTAAGAGCCCCCGTGACGTCACGCGGCCGCGCTGCAGGCGCGCACCCAGGCGTCACGTGACGGGACGCGGCGCGGGCCGTTGGGGCGTGGCGGCG